CCAGGGGAACAAGTCCGGCTGCGATCACCGTCCGCCAGGCAGGGACACGGGCAGCTTGCCCTGCCCCTGCCTCTCCCCGGGGCAGCGTCTGCCTTTGTCCCAGGGCTGGAAAAGCTTCTATTGTCCCTCTCCAAAGAGCTCTTGTACAGCGTTTGAGGAGCCTCCAGGGAGGGACAAGGCCACCCCACTCCTCCCAAAGAAGCCCCCGCTGCTCGCTGCCATTGCTGGGGGCTGGGGAAGGAGCTGGTGCTTCTCCCAGCCTGGGAAAAGGCAGCGGGTTAAGCAGAGGAGGGAGCTGGGATGGTGCAATTCATTAACTGGTTCTCCGGAGAAATACACCCCTGGGGAGCTGGAGCTCAACCCTCTGCAGCAGGGGAGCTAAAATCAGGGCTCTGCCCCGTGCTGGCGTGGGGACAGGAGCTGTGTCCCCAGCCAGGGCAGCGACTCGCTGTCCCTGGTGCCCAGGAAAACGACATGAGACGGGTGGGAGCGGCGAGGAACAGCTCAAACCCACTCAACACCCACCCAGCTCCAGGAGCTTCCCCTCCTGCCGCCCCACAAGTGGGATCAGCCCTGGGATTTCCCCTGGATGCTGCCCCCGGTGCGATCCCTTCTCCCCACGGAGATGGGGCCAAGGCTGCGCCATCTGCTCGAGCGACCAACTTTATTTCACAGCCAAGACCCGCGAGGGGGGAGTCAGGGCTCTCGCGCAGGCTCTGCCTCAGCTTTGCTTTTCAGCCTCTTCTTTCTGTTTCTCTCCTTCCTCCTCCTCTTCCCGCTGGCAGTAGGGACTGGGGATGGGGGGGCCGGGGACGACTCCCTGCCCAAGCCCTCCCGCGCCGGGGCATCACTCAGGACGGTGTTGGCTGCTTTCCCCAAGTCCGGCAGTGGGGCCTGTGGGTCCTGCCCAGTGAGGGCAGCGGCTGCGGAACGGCTCGGCTCCCTGTTTTGGGAAGGGCCTTTCTTTTTCAAACCTTTCCCCTTCTTTTTCTTGTCTTTCTTCTTCCCCTTCCTCTCTTTCTTGGCTGCCTTTGGGGGGGACAGCGGGGGGGCGGGCACGTGATGCGCCACTGGGCAGGCTCGCCCGCCCAGGCCGC